AAAGTATTTTATATTCTTTTTACATCATTGTCACATGACTGTATGACCATTTCATTCTCAAGCCAGTACAGAGACATGACTGCACACATTTTTGCTTGCAGGAGTGACTGTTGCAATGTTCTGCTTCAAATATCAGCTGTATGTGTTGACTACGACAAGGAAGAGAGCAAGATCACACAGATTTTAAATTCTCTGCACTGGCTACCTGTCTGCTTCAGAATTTATGTAAAGATCCTTTCATTGCTTTTTTTTAGGCTCGTAATGGTCTTGGTCCAACCTATTTATCAAATTTGCTTGAACCGTTTAGAAGCCCCAGGTCTTCTAGCTGTGCCCTTTTAATTACATCCTCATCCTTTCATTTCTGTAGACCACGTGTCTGGAGTAGCTTTCCAGAAGACCTGAGGGCTGCAGAGAGTAAAGTCAATATCGTAAAAGTAAATAGATAATGCATTTAAATAATTGTATCTCTTTATTCTACTTGTATTTTCTGGATTGTCTCCCTTTTATATTCTCATTCTCTGGTTTTACTTCAGTACCACTCAACTACTCAACTGTTCTATTACTTTATCCATCTATTTTGTATTTATTGAGTCCTATCGTATAAGTCTTACAAGGTAGTTGTATCTAAAGTGCTATATACAAATAACGTCTTATTGACTCACTGATGGATTGGTGATGACTTTTACCCAGTGGTCTCACTCTGTTGTTTGCTGTCAACATGTCGTTATTAGTTTTCCATCTACTCTCTTGCCTGCAGCTTTTTGGCCTAAGCTAATGTCCTCACAAGGATGTTGACCCTCGTTTACTCCTTGTTTGGTTGTTGTTTGCTGTTTGACAGGGGGAGTAGCACAAACAAATGTGTGTACATAATGTTTTTGCATTCGTTTGTCTCCACGTATCCTCCAGTGTTTGTTGCAGTGTACCAGATAACAGACAGTTACTCCCAGGGGAGGGCAGGAAGGTGGTCCAGGAAGGGTGTTCCTGTGTGAACAGGAGCTCTTTGTCCTCTCCGCCGTTGTCCCTGTACTTCATGTCTCCACCAGTCGCTGCAATGATTGGAAGTTCATGAAGTACAGGTCACAGATCAAATATACTTTTGATAATGTAACCTTACTTATTAAGTCATTGCCTGTGAATAACAGTTTAACTTTTTTTGTTTTACCGAAAATGTTGGTTATTAATTCTTGGTCCGACAAAATAAGCTATATTTGATTATATCATGGGGAAAAATGAGGGACATTGCCACAACTTACATGATAATTTATAGATTCAATTATAAATAGATGATCGAAAATAATTCATCAATGTCTAATGAATAACATAATCAGTCTCAGACCAATATCTAATGTGTTTTTCTCTAGGGTTTTGAGGGACTTCATTACCAAGTATTTTTTACATACTGTATGACTGTGCTTTATTACAGCCTTTGTATTATTCATGTCAAATGATAAAGGCAGTCATGTCTGAAGGTTACAAGAGTCTGTTTAGAAATTGGGAAAAACAGACAAGCAAAGTAAAGAATGGCAACTTAAACAAAAGCTACATTTTAATTTAAAAATATTCTTTACATCTTGAATTGACTTTAAAAAAAACGTTTATGCAGCAAAGCTTAAAAGCACCAGAACAGGTATCCTTGTGTCCGTCTCTGTGAGTGGACTCAGTCAGAGGGACCTTATTTGGGGTCAGGGGAAAGCCCTGCTGCTGAAGTGTCAGGCTGTTTGTGACTGTCTCATGTGTTGTCTGTGGTCAGATGGAGACTTGGGGACAGCTGGAGCATCACCTGTCACTGGATCACATGTGTTTGTATGACATAGCAGTGGTGATACCTAACTACACACCACATAAGGTGGACATCATTTTTAAAAGAACACACCCTTCCCAATGCAATAGCCCAAGGGTAAATACCAGTTTCAGGAGCCTTGTGTCCATTGCACTCAAATGCCAAAGGCAACTCAGTGAACCATATTTAATTATAAAATACAAACTAGCTCTAAAGCCTGTCAAGGGTTCCCACTGTCATTCCAATTTTCAGCTTATAGAGATACAAAATGCTATGTTAGGGCTTTTGTGTCTGTAAGTTGAAAATGAGATATAAAAAGTTCTTGAGGTCATTTATAGTAGTGGCTGTAAGAATTGCTTCTTTTGTAAGCTCTGTTAAATTATGTCATGTCTCACAAATCATGACAACATACAATACCATGTGTCAAACACAGGATGAAGGTATATTGGCAAAGAACAACAATGCACTTAAGTACTCACCCACATTGAACGTAGGCCTCAACAGGATATTTGCATAACGGACAATACAGACTCTACTTCCAGAAATGAATGTGAGTTAGGCCATTACCTTGCATCCAGTCACCTGATTGTTATAATGTATTTCTTTTGTTTGGCCAACCATCCTGTGTTTTGGCTTCGTATCAAACTTAATCTACTTCCATACTAGCACGCCAGAAACATATCACGTGACCCCTTGAGTGCACTAGACATGTGCCAGTGTTAACAGGAAGCATTTGGTTGTTAGTTGCAGAAAGACCTAGGCTACAAATTAAAAGCAGCAATTGGGAAAAGTAAGAGGAGGGATTTTTTTTCTTGGACCGACAATGATGTGGAACCGTTACTGAAGGTAACACAGGAGTACAAGGTGGCTAAGGTGTTGGGCTAATGGCGGTTGCTTTCTTCTAGTCCAGGGTCATGTGGAGCCTGCTGAATCAGCGAAGGCTACATCGTGACCAAAATGACCCAATCAGCAAAACTGAGTGTCCAAGTCATTGTTTCCAAACGCCTCTATTTCTGCCCAACCAGTCTGAAATGCAGCCCCAAAGTTTTCAGACTAAAGCAGTGTCCTCAAACTTCTCAGTTTTAGCTTTTCTAAAACTGCAGAGTGGTTTGGTCACCAGGCGTATCCGTAGCAGAGTTTATGTGGATGTAGCCTAATTTCATTTGCATGTTACTATTGGTCACTTTCATTCTTAACCTTGCATTAACCTTTTGGAGACCTACTGTAACACTAACCATGACCACTACTTCCCTTACTCTAACCTTCCCCATCTTAACCTTAACTGATCTTTTTTCGGACACTTTTCCCCGGAGGTAGTCCATGACTGACGACACACACAGACAAACGCACACCTCATTGTTATTACACTATCTCTCTCACCAACATCCACAATACCAGGAGATGTACTCTTGCAACACACTCACTCACTACTTCATAACACATTCATAAACATTCACTTACACAATCACTCACCCATATGCACACCTAGAAAGCACACAAACAAAAACACACACACACACACTCACTCCCACTCAGTTACTGGCAATAATAAAAAGTGTGTCTGCAGCACGCCTAACTCATTATGTTTTTCTTGTCTCTCGGTGAGTCCTGTGGGCCACTCTGTTCAGACACACGGCAGGAGGAATGCCTGATCCTTTTTAAGCCCCAACGAGAATGTTGATACGTCTGTAGATTACTGCTCAACATGTTTATGATAGCCTATTATTCTCTAAGCTTCATCCGGGCCCAGCGCGTGCTTCGTCTACTTAGCGCAACTATTTAGGTCATGGTAAAATCTCAGAGGAAAGTACTGTGGTTGGTGAAACATCAGTGAACCTGAGCAAAAAAGGTCAATATCAAGTTATTATTGCTCTATTATACTGTATATTTCATAGCAATCCATCATTTACAAGTAAGTGATGAAAACTGGTCTAATGAGCAGCCGGTGTTCTTGTACAGGAACATGACCTAAAGTTTACAATCTCTGCTGTGGTTAACTGGAGATGTACAAAAGATTAACAGTAATGAGATCTTGAAACCTATTCAAGAAAGTTGATGAGATTTTTGCTCATGATAAAAGAAAAATAGATTTGTTAGACACTTTGACAAAACTCAGTTGTTTATAAATTATAATCACCATGTGATTTCTTTCTTTACTATGCCACATCCTGATAATCCAGATCTATGCCTCCTATCATGGCTCATATTTCAACAACAATAGCTGTTAAATGTCCTGCTCTACCGTTAAAATGTCAGAGATCATCAGGCACACACACTAAAAGATGGGGAGAAAGAGGGGCCATATACCCGTTAAGCCTATGAAAATGTCATTGATGTTAACTGTCCGAATAGTGCCCTGCCAAAAGTACTGCACAGTTGGGCCCGAGTGGCCCAGTATCAGCGTCTCGTAACGACAGGAATCTGAATCTGTCTGTTCTGCCCCTGTTGCAAGTGATGTTATGGCTCTTTGATGTGCGATTTACGAAGCGCCATCTTTATCATTCTTTCTGCTTTCTTGAATCCGTGTGCGTGTGTGTAAGCATTTCTGCAGGGCTAACTAGATAAGTACAGAGGTAAGGCCAAGGCTGTGAAGATGTAGAAAATCCCTTTGAAGGCTAAGTGTAGAATGTTTCCGCACATTTGTTTTGTGTGTGTACTGTACCTGAGTGTGTCTGGGTGTGTACTTATGCAGATCTCCTGACTGTATTTGCATGTCACCAGGTAGTTGGTGTGTTTTTGAATTTCAAACACTCAGTTGGAGTCATTCATGAGTTGTCACACTGTGGTCAGACTGGCTGCACCTTGTCGGAGATGTGTCTGTTGGGTGAAACACCTGTTGGGAAAGCATGTAAACAACAGCAGTGTGTGTGTGTGTGTGTGTGTGTGTGTGTGTGTGTGTNGTGTGTGTGTGTGTGTGATTGTGATTGTGTTAGTGTGTGTCTGCCCACTCAGGGATCATATCGCTCAACAGCTTTTATAATGAGTGGCTTTTCCATGTAGACAGCGACTGGCAGACTAACATGTCATTACACCCTGTCCTGCTCTGAGCTGCTCTGTCATTGGTATATGGCAACATTAAAGAGGCAGCAGCATATGAAAGAAGAGCACAAACTGGCTGATATTCTTTGTTTTATAACGCAGGTCTATGCTTGATGTGCAGAGTATTTATCCTGGAGGCATCCAGCTGACTGTCTTGTATTGTGTCATGTGTTGAATCTAGGTTCATCAGATGGACCAGAAAATGGACTCTGTCCTGCGGATTCTAAAGGAGCAGTTCCTGCCCAAACCAGAGCTGACGTCCAAGCCCTCCATCCGCAGGGTGACCATCCAGAAGTGCATGGGTGCCAGCATCGATGAAGGGCCCTGATTTCATGGAGACAGGCGCGCTACTGGGTATGATGATGTCATTACCAAAGGACATTTAAAAAGGACATGAGTACACATACACATCTTGGCCTCCTATACGGGGGGCTTGCACAATAATATGGTTACTCATTTTTCCGAACTTCATTCCCACTTTTCTTCTAAACTTCCAAGGCTTTCAATCCCTAAGAAGGCAACAACTTGATGCATAGAACCACTGACAGTGGTGTTGTGAGACAGTTGACTTTTTGATGATTTTTGCGCCTGTAAGGGTCTCTCTTTTTCGACATGCAGCTTTCTCCTCTGCACCAGCATTGTGGGCCCTCTGTCTTTTCCGTGCAGTGACACGCCACATGAATTTATTTCACTACATTAACCTCATAATCACACTACTCAGATGATGTTAATTTATGTGTGGCCTGTCACTGAGCTGCATTCCTGCACTCCAAATATTATTCCAAAGCTAACTAACCCAGTAATGAAGTCGTAATGCAATCAAAGCACCCGAGTTCCCCAAAGACACAGAGAAAAACCCAGAATCCAGCCATGGCAGAGGCATTCCTCAAATCCGTCTGATTATCTTGGCACCATCCACACCGAGTACACAACAGGGTTATTTCTATAGCCACATATCCATCTAGCCTAACTGTACTTAGACTGCGGCGGCTGTTTGTTAGTAGTGATCAAATAACACGAGGAGGGAAAGGCAGATTATCTGTTGACTTTGCCTGCATTACAGGGACCGGAAGGCTGGAGTAAAAAGAAATGGAACTAAAGAAATGTGTGCGGGGTGGGTGGGGGTGGTTAACGCGGCGCTGATTTACAGCTACGTTTGGGCTAATAAAAATAGCCAAACTGCCAAGACAGGGCCTGGTGCTGTGTTACAGAAATACAGTCAGAAGTTATGGCACGATCTCTGTTTGCTCAAGGTTTTCACTGGGAGATTTCAAATGCATATCGATCTCAGGCTGCAGCACCACCAGGACAGGGCTTAATATCCTCTTTTACCCTCTTCAGGGGGGCTCTCACTGCTGTGTGCGATTTGAAATAAATTTGCCCCCATTAAAGTCTCTAATATTTTTTTTTTCTCTTCTGAGCTAATGAAGTGCTGAATTCCTTGTAAGGGAGATCACTCAATGTGAGCTTCTAATGAAAAGTAACTGGAAAATGTGCAGAATTCAAGCTCTGAGGAGCGGGCGCACTGATTCTGTTTGAAACATTTGGGAAATATCAGGCTACCGCTGAGAGCCCACATTTGAAATAAAGAGACAATGCTATCACTGTGCTCCTGTACTCATTGTATTTATCTGACAGGACACGGAGGCATGTAGGAAGTAGAAAATAGAAAATAACTCAACTATGTAGCTACTGTTTGAAAGGCCTCCCATAATTATAGCATTCACATTCCTAAAAAGTCAGATGCACACACAAAAGAGGGATGAACGAGGGAAGGGGAGAGAGGAGAGGCTGACTCTCTGCACTAGCATATATATTGTCATTTTTTGCAGTGATTGAATATTAGCTATTATTTATTTTCCATGAAATGAAGTGGTTGTATTTTAAATAAACTCAAATTTTGTGACAGACCTTGATACATATCTGCCTGTCTGATCTCCTGTACAGTTTTATAAGAGTTGTAAATAGAAACATTGCCTTATTGTACTGTATTTATTATCATGTGGAAAGATCAACCTGGAACATGTCTGCTTGTCCGTGTGATGAGAAACACAGGCCGAGGCTCCTGTTGTACAGATGGATGGAAATGATTGTAAATGATATTCACGCATACCCTCTGCAATGTGGCTCTGCTGTAAATAATAAAACTCCCATTTCATTACGCTCTGGCCCGCTCTCTTGGCTCGGAGAGAATTTGATTACCAGCTCATCTGCTCCATAATTTGCTTTCGTTGGAGGGCGAAACCTGTCTCGCAGTTTCTCTCAGCTGTTTGCTCAAAATCCGGAGCCGAGCTGGGTCAAGGTAAGCCACAGGCCGCAGTTTCCATCCAAATAAAATCCCCTTGGCTCATCATCTCGCCGAATTCCTCTCACACGGCAATCACCACGAGGGGAGAAGAGAAAGAAGGAATAACACGTTCGCCGCGCCCACTTTGAACTCCAATATTCCATAACCCATTGAACGAGGCATGTGGAGGAAAAGGCGAATATGTCTCGTATTACCACTCAATTATATTTGCTGCGAAAGGCCAAAAAATACTGGGGATGTCCCAAGATCAGCACGCTCCAGTGCTGAGAGAGGGAGAGTGGAGGAAGGAAGAGAGGGGTTGTCCCTGGAGAGGGGTGGACAAACAGGGGGGAGAGAGAGGCAGGAGGAGGACACAGGGCAAAGAGGAGCAAAAGCCATTTTCAATTAGCCAGAGAGACTACATGGGCCGGAGGGCTGCAGTGCTCCACTGCCTTTTGTCCTCTTCTGGTTTCTATCACCTCAAGGGGATTTTGGCAGAGAGAGGGAGAGAGAGACCCCATGGCTACCTCCGTCTGCTGAGGCCACTCCATGTCGCCCTGTGCTCCTCTTTCATCTTAAGGCGAGACAGAGAGAAGAGAGAGACTCCCGACTTCAAAAGACAGTTTGATGTTAGAAGTACACGGGAGCGCAACCTAAAAGAGGATCTGAGAAAGCAGTTAAAAGGAGCATATAAGGGGCACACTGTCACAGACACTGGACAGTGAAATCCATGTGGTGGGGGAACTCATGCAAGGTCATGAAACGCTAGAGACCCTCTGAGGTTTGCTGATCGTCCATGTCGTCTTTGATCCGGTCACCCTAGCTCAGGAAAGGACAGAGCTCTTATTATGCTGCTGAGAGGAGGCTGATATAACATAGACGTTAAAATAAGGACATATTGTGGAACTTACACATCTTAAAATCATGATCATAAAATTGTTAAATTATTCTACTTTACCAAATTATCTGACCTGTTAATACTGTTTTTTTTGACAAGATGCAGCAATATTCTTGATGTCAAATCTAAATATTTGTTTGGTTACTTCAACTGTCTGCTCTTTTCACATTGGGCTGGTGAAAACCTGGACATGCAGAGTTTCTTGAGATCAGGCATCAGTTGGATCTATTTCTGTTTGTTAAAGCAAAGTCTTGCACACTGAGATGTTCACTGTCTGTGAAAATTATCATTTTTTTGATTATGATTATTGTATTTTTCTTTACATTTTTTTTCAAATTACTCTTGATAGAATATGTTTTGTGGCTATGGGCTGAGAATCTCCTGCTGCTATGTTCATGTGTCAAAGGTAAACTTTGGAGAAAGTCCCAATTCTCCATATACCTCTGGAGGTCATGTCTGATAATGGCTTTAGAGACCTTTAAGTTTTTGGGAGAGAAACTCAACAGGCCTCACAATGAGCAAGCACTTGGCAACAGTGTAGAGAAAACACATAATTATCTGATCCCTGATCAATTCAGCCATTGAATGACTGGTGTGGGTGAGAGAGAGACATGAAGACCACAAAAATGTTGTCTCGTTAAGAAATGCAATGCATTCATATTTTTTACGTTAAATAGCAGTTAGCTAACACTAGCAATATGGTCAATGGGATTATTTATATAGAGCTTCTCTGGTCTTGATGACCACTCAATGCTCTTTACAGCACAGTTTGTATTTTTCATTCATACAGTGCAGCTATGTGCAGCACTTTCTCTAGATCACTCATACACTGCTGGCACAGCCGTCAGAGGCAATTAAGGGTTCAGCATCTTGCCCAAGGACACTAAGGCACACAACCCAGGACAACCCAGACAGACTGAAATCAGATTTGTGATCTGGCCAAGCATTCAGCCACAACTGTACAAGAACAAGTTTTAATGTTGTGGCTGATCTGCGTGTGTGGATAAGTGTAAAACAAGTTGTCTTAAATCTCATGTGTATTATACTTGAAATGTGGTCTGCAACAGGTGTAAAGGAGTCCTCAGTGTGTCTAGGTCTGTGGCTCATATCATGTACTACCCATGATGGCCTGGGCCCATAAAGAAAAACACACACATATACACACATACACACACACCAGGCTCAGCAGGGAGGCCGCGGCTGGTAAAATGCTGGTAGCTGTCAGGCTGTGTGGCCGCGCCTGCCCACCACAGGGGCACTTGGAGGCCACCTGTCTAGAGAGGCCCAGGCGTGCTATATGAAAGCAGATATGTGTCAACAGGTGTGTGTGCATGTGTGTGTGTGCATGTGTGTGTGCATGTGTGTGTGTGTATATGCACTGAATCAACCAAGATTGTGACAAACAATGTCAAGTAGCAGCTGATGCCAGGCACCCCTACAGGAGCTGTCCCTAAATAGCTGGGGCCGGCAGTTGCCTGGATGACAGTTGTTGTACCTTGTTGCACCCTCCCCCGCCCACCTCTCCATAGAATTAAATTCTATGGGGGATAAAATAGATTGTTCCAGTGTGTTCTGATTGGCTTAGTCCTGGCTCAAAACCATCGTAAAACACCCAATAAACATACACCTGTGATCCCATTTTAACTGCAACTACAGAGAGAAACCCCAGCTCTAAGGGAAGAGAGAAGGTTGGAAGTTTGGGTTATAGTATTATTATTGGCTGATGAAATCATTATTTACATAATTCTATGATTATGGTATGTAGGCACTTGAAAGCCAAGGTTAACTCGAGCAATAACAAGCATATAGCAGCACCTCTTACATGTCAGAACACTGTTAAGCCCTCATATTACCTAAGTATTAACTTGGTTTCCATGGTGTCCTTATGGGAAATGCAGCAGTGGTGACCTTGTTTTTAAATGGTCCCACAATACCTTGGGCTCTGTCTGCAGGGTCCTCCATGTCCCCTTATCCCCAACTCAGAAAACTGTTTTTGGTGCACCCTCTCACAGCAGATACAGTATGCCCTTTGACCCCATCTCTGTTTGGTCCAAGTATAGGGACATCACCCCACGGGATAATAAATCAACCAGAGGCCGGGAGGTTAGATTGACCCCCCGTGACCTTTGGCCTTGCGAGATTTCCCTTTACCATATGTCTGTGGCTCACCGCCGTACACCCCTCCCCATGCATGGCCAGAGGAAAAAATCCCTGCGGCCAAGAACAACAGCACAAACCCAGGCCCGCTCGAGAGCCAAAGATCCGTCTGAGCTGCTCAGTTTCACATCCTGGGTCCAGCCAGCAACAGAAACCCCACCCAGGGCTGGCTATGCTAAGTGTGACTGCTGCTAATGTGTTGTTACGGCTGCCGCAGAAGTCCAGGCACACTTTGGAGGTGGAGGGGGGGCAGCAGAGAAAGGCTGCATGTCTTGGGGGTTGCCGACAGTATATAGGTCATTTTATTGGGGGACTTTTCCCCCAGACGGGGAGAGAATTTCTGGCGTGAAACTGGAAGGACTTCAGTGGTGCGCTGATGTTTGGCCAGCCAAGGCAGAATGTCAGGCATGGTGGACAGCTGCATGGAGCTACTGTTAGAGAGGAGGGGAGCGGGCAGGCAGGCGGGGGGTTGTTATTGTACAACAAGAAAGAAGTGATACACGAGCGTGAAACGTCAGTCTGGTATTATGTGTTGACCCCTGTATTTTTAATTAGAAAAGGGAAGTGAAAATAGACCAAAAAGGCTGAAGGATTCCTAGAAAAATGTGGTGTAAAGTTCTGTGCGATATGGTTTCACTATTACACACTTCTTATTACGCACAACGCTGATTCTCATAAGTGATGTGTGAGAAATGAGGATGTGCTGTCCAAATCCATTTCAAACTCCGTCAGCACTGTAACAAATGTCTCTTGAACAGAAGATCAGGAGGTTCAATGAACGTCCTAGAATTTTATACCTGCCTCCTCCCTGTTGAATTTGAACAGCAAACCAGCTCAAAATCCCCTAAACAGCAACACCATACTCTGCAGTGAGTGAAAATTGAAAACAGACTGAAAAATTTAGTATTGGCTAGCCGGTGGACCACATCTATGCTCGTCCAAAGGCAGAGGTAGGTTTCATACGGTTGAAGAGTCTGCTTTTCTCATCAAGGCCCATGTTGGAGAACATGTTCACTCATTCTTACGGCAGGAATCTTTTCAACACCAGAACTGAGGACTGTGCAGTGCAGCAGAGGCCCCCACGAGCCTCCTGATGAGGGCAGCAGAAGCAGGACAGAAAAAAGAAGCCTGGGTATATTGATGTGAAATATGGGCCACATTATTTTTCATGAAAAGTGAAAAGCTAATCGTTTCTGGTACTGATTCAAAAACGATGATAAAGACAATTTTACATTCATTTTAGGCAACAGTGTTCCTTGACATTGGTTTAGACATCACATGTAATTTAATGTGGTCCATGTTGTAAGACATATTCAGACTGACTGGAAATATTGCCACATACACTTGTGCAAATGTTACAAAAAGCTTGCATCACATTGAAATGTTTTGCATCATGTCAAATTCACATCACATCCGATCACACCCATACTGTCATCATCAAAATCATCATCATCATCATCATCTGTGTGGGAATACTGCTCTGCTAGCTTACACACTGCTGCTGGACATTATGCATGAAGTATGTTACACGACTGACTCGACACATTATCTCAAAAGAAGTGTAAACTTAGTCATACAACATTACTTTGAATTAAATGTGAGGAGAGGAGAGTTCTCCAACACACACGAACATATATATATATATATATATATATATATACGTTTGCATAATTTATATATATATATATAAATACATTTGTGTAATTTATATATCAGTTACTTTTCTATGTTTTTTGTCAGAACTATTGTTACACCCCAACTCACATGGCTGTACACATGCACACACACACACTCA